CACATGAAAATAAAGCAGCATTTAGAAGCGCAGAGCACTCACTCATTTAATCTGCAGTGGATGCATTGTCTAGCCAAGACACTTTAAGCCCTTTCTCCGCCAGAAAAAAAATTAAACGAATCTATTTCTGCGCTTTCGCTTTTAATGTAAACACTTTGCATTACTTTTCCATCGTGCTCCGTCGCTTTCTCTCATTTTACCTTTAGTTCTAAAAATATTAATTGCTCCCTCCAATCAGTAGGGACGAACGCTGCGGGCGAATGTGTGCGGACTTCATCATCAACTAACTAGGTCAGCGCAAATTGCCAGATGGCTTACAGAAAGAAAACAAATTGAGAATAAAAATATTACAATATAATAAAAAACAAAACAAAAGCAAAAAAAAAACATTCAAGAAGTTAGCGAATCCAAATGCTTGGACGCCTTCGCTCGGCGCCATTGCCCAGCCCAGCCACGTGAGCCGTTTATTAATTGTTTTGTTTCTGCTTGTCGTTGTTGTTGTTGTTGTTGTTTTTGCTGCTGCTGCTACTATGTGTGATTAGTCAACGAAATACAGTTAGCTTTGAACGTGTGCATATTTTGTTGTAATTTTATTCTATTTTATTCACTAAATTCACTCATTCCTCATTTTAAGTTTTCACCCGATATTCGAGTTTATTTATTCACAAACAAACAGACAGACAGACAAACAGACAGAGAGACAGAAAGATAGACGAGTGAATGTGTCGCCTGGGCGTATACGTGATTTACATTCAAAACCTTTCATTGCCAACCAATGAATTGTGTGCAGTTTCATTCGGTTTTGCTTCACTTTTCGTTGTTCTACATTTTCTGCTTGCGCTTCTTTCGCGCTGATTAAATGTAAATTTTATTGCCATTGCGCGTTTTTTGAGTTGATTTTTCTCACCTTTCCAAATACTTTGCCGTCAAGCCATCACTTTTTGTGCGATTCATTCGATGAAATGCCGATTTTTAGCGTTTATTGAACTCTTGGCTTTATTTTTCTAGGGATTTCTCTTTATATGATCGGTTTATGGCGTTTTTGTATGCGCAATGATGAATCTGTTCAAATGTCTGCATTTGTTGCAGTGGCGGCGTTGTGCTCGCTTTTTCGGTAATGAGTCGAAATCCCTCACATTTGTATTCCGGTCGAAGACCGATTTGGAAATTTTCAGATGGTAAGTTTGGAAAGTGAGGATTTGCATTAAAGTGAGCTGATTTTGTGATTTATTTGTACTTTTTACACTTCGTCAATGTAAATAGAAATATATTACGGAAAGTCGAGTGGAATTTAAATGCAGTTATTTTTCGAGTTTCTATCTTTTTAAGAAGCTGTTCAAGAAAACCGGAGCGAAATTGTGTTGTTGTATTCAAATTTCACTTAAAAAAATTTATTTTAAAAATCATTGTTTATTATAATAATTTGCATAAAATTCCTGGTGTCTAAAAGATTATTAACTTAGGGCACAAAGAGCTTGCTTCATGGCAATTCAAGTTGTCTTGTAAAGCCTAACGTCCACATGACAGTACCGCATTGATAGAAGCCTTGGAAAACATCATGCGTGCCATGCTCCAGTTACCAGTAGAAATACTCGAACGAATCATCGAAAATTAGACCCAACGGCTGGACCATCTGAGACGTAGCCGTGGCGAGCATTCGAAAGAGGTAATCTTCACAAAATAAATGCCAAAAAATGTTCTTTCGAATGAAAATTAACATTCCCCATTAAATTACAATTTGCTTTCGAATGGACCATAAAAAAGTGCGTAGGTTTCTTGAAAATTTATTTTTGTAAGGTTACCAAATCCTGGGCCTGTGAAAAATGTCGCCTCACAGTCCGTGATACTAAAGCCATTCAGGGTCTGCTGGAATAAGTTCTGCCTGGCTTTTAAATTAAAAATTCCTCCTCGTCCTCTATAGGCCGCAACTGCGACTGAAGTCATAGAGAAGTTGTCCGCCGCCGGCTGGAATGCTGTTGGACGTCGAAGAACGGAAACTTCGTTGCGGGAGATGTCCGTTTACATTACCAATGGTAGCAGTATCTACTATATGTTGCCGGAGAATGTGATGTGGCTACGTCGTGCCCAGAATTTACTTATCTGGGAATGTTAACCTTCAAGCCACCTTCGCAGCCTCACAGCTTTTTGCCACGTCTCTGTATTCGCAGTGTCAAGCCACGGACGTTTCATATATAGTCGAGAGATTTTCTTGCGTCTTTTCGCTGTTTGGCGCCAGTTGAAAACACCAAAGGTAGTTAGGTCTTCACTCTCCTGCCCCTCCAGCCAAGTCTTACTCTGGTTCTATCTTCCGGGTGATGTTGCGAACACGTAAAGGACCGTAAACCTTAGGCGAACCTTTCATATTAAAAAATCCTGATGCCGAATTGTCAGATATGGGCATGATCCAGGCTTCAGCAGCATATAGCAGGACGGGAATGATGAGCAACTAGTAGGATTGAGTATCAGTTTGTCTAAAGACGATTTTTTGTTTTTCAATTGTCCAAAGTAGAACCGGTTGGTATTGGTGGATCTGCGGTGGATTTCAAGACTGACAGTAATAATGCTGTAATGATGCGATGCTGACCCCTAGATGCTTGAAATTAAATAGGAACTGGAAGTTATGACCGTCAGCAGGGCCTTGGGAGCTGACTGTTATATAACATTTTCAATATTATACCAATTTGTATTACCACAGTAGAAAGAGTTTTTTAACAGTTATAGAACTTGCTACAATTTCATAGAAATATTTATTTACAATTTGCACAAATAAAAGCAATTAACTGTCAGCTGTAAGCACCGTTAAAGAACTATAAGAATTTCATAAATTTTCCTTTATTCTGATTTTATATTAAAAAATTACATATAAATTATGGCATAACATATACATATACGTCTATGTATACATGTCGCATGCATGCCTTCAACAATGTATCATAAAACATTTTACTCAAATTGGCAAAGTTTTTCCGCCAACACAACAACAACTGCTACGGAGAATGTAGTAAAATGAAAGTTGTCAGCAAAGACTGAACTATTCAAAGCTTCAGTGCTGAAAGCCGAAAGCCGAAAGCTGCACGCGCATGCTGAGCACTGAACACTGAATGCGGGGAGTGTAGGCATTGTTGCCTTTGTTGTTGGCCAATTTCACAGGCACACACCTGCAACATATTACCGCTGCAGATGCCTGTAAGTACACACTTTCTGGGCAATTATGTAACAAAAATGAAATTACAAAATATGAGAGCTTTTTTGCATTTTCCGAATGTAAATGTAAATGTGCATAACATAACACCGTCACCAGTACCAACAACAGCACCAACAACAGCACCAACAACAGCAGCAGCAGCACCAACAACAACAGCAGCAACAGCAGCAACAACAGTAAAGCGAAACGAAATGACAAACTCTCGCTAACTCGTAAAGTGGCGAAATTGCGAAATTCGGTATGAAATGGCAAATTATGCCAAGCCAGCGGGTGGTGGGGGCTGCAGGGGCGCTACGCGGTGTGACTGCCGCAAAGTAGTGGCAACGAATTGTGAAAATTCGAAAAGTTTTGAAGTGAGCTGTGCTTGAGTGTGTGTGTGAGTGCTAAGCAGCTTTTTGTGCTCTAGGTATGCATGGGCGTGTGTGTGTGTGTGTGTGTGTGTGTGTGTATTTATGCCATTTCAGTTATCGGGGTGTGCGTGAGTTGTAAATAAAAGTAGTTTGGCAAAAAGTCGTTCTTATTCTCCGGCTATTGTCGTTTCTACTACTTTTATTGTGTGTTTGTGGCAGCCTCCAATGGCGAGTTTCGGCTGAAATAGTGTCAACAAACCAATTTTTCGCACGGCAAGGAGCTTGAAAAGCAAAAGTGCCAACAAGGGGCAATAAAAGAAACAGCCAAGAGGAAACCGAAAACAGCATTTAGCACTATTAAATACAAAATATTTTACTGCAACAAAACGTGGCACGCACAATGTCGAAAAGTGAGTAAAAGCGCCACAGCAACAACAATAGTAATTTTGATTGAAGCAAGTAAGAAAGCGCCAAGTTCGTTTGAACGGTAGGAAATGATTGACTTTAGTATTGCCTTTAACATCGAGAGTAAAAAGAGATTTTTTTATTCTAATCTTTATATTATTTATAAGAGGCTTTGTCCTGAATGACTGACGGATAGACCCGCAGCCCAGTCCACTGTTCGCAGAGGCCTGAAACTTGGAGGATGTGTTCTGCATTTAACGTAGGAATCTGATAAGAAAGGAGTTTCTGGGAACTGAACGTTTTCCACAATTATTTGCGATCTGAGAATTAGTTGAGATTTCGGACATAAACTAACGGTTTTCTGATATTCGTTTCAGATTCTCTCGAAAACTTTTGTATTTTTCGACATAAAGCGTTTATCTCTACGGACTTTTCATACTCTTACATGCAACCGTTAGGCGAACAAAGTTAATATACCCCAGTAAATAGCTCAGGTGGATGCATGAGAGCATAAAAAAGAAATTTATAGTTGCGTTATGATTGCGCACTCGCCATCAAAATTGCTAATTTGCCGTTAAACTTCAAGCCATGCAATTACAGTTAGCCAGCCAGTGGTACCGCCAAAAATGCAACCACAGTTTCGACGCTCTCTTAAAGAAAGTCCATCGAGTAGACTTTACGCACACGCACACATACCTACAAGTGTACGTATTATAGCTAAAGTTTACACAAAAAATACTCTACTTTGCACATATAAAATATTAGCCAGCCGTCGAAATAGGCATTTCCCTCATATTTGCTCGCATTTTTTATCTAAAGAAATTTTTAACTGCCAAGTTGACACCTGTAAAATCCCTCACGTCTGCAAATCGTCAAACGCCCTATGAAACATACATTTATGTACATAACACCACCACCTACAGCCCCTCAGGTGCCTAAAGCCAACTCAGCTTAGGCTAAAGCATGACAGAAAATTAATTTTTCATCGCTTTATCTCACATCATTCTCTCATTTATTCTCTTTTTCTCATTTATTTGCAGGTGGAAAACCGTGCGTTACGCCTACGTGAAGTGGCCACCGCCATGCAGCAATACCAGGACGAGCCATTCCCCTCTGCCGCGTCCATGCATGGCAACAGTGGCAGTCCGGGCTTCGGAGGCGCGGCGCATGACATCAATCGACTGCACCCGCTGGGCGTCGGCACTGGTGATGACGGTGTCGATGAAGGCCCTGGCGGAGGAGGCGGCGCTGGTGGTGGTGGCGCTGGTGGTGGCAATATTATAATTATTGGCACTGGCCCGGCTTTTCATCCGCGCATTGGCGGCCTAGGCTTGAATGCATATGGTGCGGCGAGCGCTGATGAGAACACTATGCGTCTGAATGCCGCCAATGGTGTATTCACCAGTAGTAGCGGCGCAGGCGGGGCTGTGGGAGCCGCAATGACGAGTGCCACTGGCATGCATGGCTCATTGTCAGCGCCGAATGGACGCAGTGCGGGAGACTGGGAGTATTTCGATGAGGCAGGCTACATACGTGGTGGAGCTCTACGCACTGGTGAGGATCCCTACATACGCAATCGTTTCAATCAGGAGGCGAGTGATGCGCTGCCAAGCAACCGAGATATACCGGATACGCGGAATCCAATGTGAGTAGAAATTCTCTAATTTTTGGTTTATTGGTAGTGTTGGGGGAAATGATGGAGCTTTGCTGTAGTAATTCGCAAGGCGCTTAATGATAATTTTCGGCTGCTCGGATCAGTCAGTAAATCAGTGAATTAGTCAGTGAATCAGTCATGCAATTCAACCAACACAAAAATCATAGCAGTACAGGTGAAAGTAGATGTTGAGTATATACGACAAAAGATACTGTGAAACTGTGTTTTTGCCTCTGGAAGGAGACCAGGATCATGTGTTTCTGCAGTTTGACACTTAATCAAATTTGCAAATTTTGCCACACAGCAATTCACACACAAATGTAAATATGTTGTTTAAGGTAGTTCGAGATCCCGAAATAAAATGTGCTTCAAAAAAATTTTCAATCTAAAAATATATATAACAGGACACCCGTTAATGTATAATAAATAATAAATCATAAATAATAAATAATAAATAATAAATAATAAATAACAAATAATAAATAATAATTAATAAATAATAAATAATAAATAATAAATAATAAATAATAAATAATAAATAATAAATAATAAATAATAAATAATAAATAATAAATAATAAATAATAAATAATAAATAATAAATAATGATAAATATTAACTATTTATTGTACGAATTTCACTCAAAAATGCATTTCATTTTTGACTTAGGTGGCAACCCTGCCCGAAAATAAATTAAAGCATAGAAAAAAGTTTTGTTTTCTACCTCATATTTCCATAACGGACACTGATGAGTCACTAAATCCGTTCGATATCAAAAATATTTTTCTTATTGAGACCAAAACAGCAGAAAATTCGTTGTCAATATTTTTATTTTATAATATTTTTAGACTTTGTTTTATACAAGCTGGCAACCCTAAACAACATCTTTTTCAAAATCCGTGCTCATACATTACAAAAAAATGGGAAAATTTATTTATTGACGAATTTTAATACAAATGCGCACCTTTCCGTTGAGTTTCAAAAAATAATAATTTTAAATAATTTTTTAATCGCATATTCTAGAAGTTGTGGTAAATAAAAAAGCGAATTTTTTCTTTGGATAATCCGAACTGCTTTTTCATCAATATTAACGTACACAAAAATGCATAAACATATTGATAAGGCAGATATATGCTCGTACATATGTAAACGCGAATGTATCTGTCGATAGTTGAATGCACCCGAGAGTCAATAAATAGACACATTTCAAAAGCGAAAATTAGGACAAATGTGTAATGAAGTGAGGAACTAACAAGCCGTGGCTAAGCGGTGGGTGTGGCATGTTGGCCAAACAAAGGGGGAAAAACAAATTTATCGAGCAAAATTGATTGCATCAAGCACGAGCCGGTGAGCAGCATAAAACTCAACTGCAGATAGCGCACAGCCCACACACCGCACCCACTGAGAGCTCGCTTGCCACCACACACCAACACCCATACCGAGGGGACCACAATGCAGGCAAACAAATATGTACTAGTGCGTATGTGTGTGGGTGCTCATAGTTTCAATTGAATATAGGTACCACCACCTCCACCAAAAACAACAACAACAAATAGATAAGCCTGTACTCGATTAAAAACAAAACAACAAATAGTTGTATTGTTGCTGTTGCTGCTGACAAGAGACAACAAGAAATTACAAACATTAAATTGCAACAAAAATTACGCCAGAAGAAGAAGAAGATTACAGTAACAAAGGTTACAATAGTTTATTGTGTCAATAAAAACGGTAGTGTTTGTATGTTTTCGCAATACGAGTGTGCGTGCATGTTGCTATGTACATACAAATACACACACATATATGTACATATATAAAAGCATAGTAGTTGACATGCAGTGCTGTGAGGTGCATACATGCAACATGCAACAAATATACACACACTCACACAAAAACACATCTGCAACAAAATGTCCATTCAACGCACACACATTTCCATGTACTTTAGTTGAGTGTAACGGTAAACATAGCAACTAGTTACTCCGTTTGTAGGCCAAAACGAGGTTGACTCTTTGCTGCCGTCAATGTGTCTAAAAGTGCAAAATGTAGAAAATTCTATGGCAAGTCTGGCCTCTGCGCACGTATGAATGTGTCAATGTTTGTGCTGCAATTGTTGCCCAGTCGTGCAAGGCATTAACTAGCATAGGAAGGAATTAAGAATTTCACAGGAATATTCTCTTTTAATTGTTGGTCAAGAGCAGTTAAGCTTTGTTGTTTCTATTATATCTGATTTTACTAAATTGGCTTCTCGGGGCTTGTGGCAAAATAAGTGAGAATACACAAAAATGGGCAAAATGAAAAAAAAAATTATATTTTCACTTGTTGCAAACTGGTTTCTGTTGAATTTATTTTTATGAATAAATTTTAAAGCAATTTTACTAATTTTTTCACAACAAATATTTTCTCCGAAATTTATAAAGGAAGGAGATTAATTAATCAAATACTTAGACAACTCGAAGTACAAATAAATTTTTTTTACTGTTCAAAAAATGATTTTTATTAAAAAAAAATTGTGAAAAACACATCATTCCATTAGAATGGTCTACTTTTTCCCATCTCTATGGTATATTTCGAACAACATCTCTACAAAATTCGTACTCTCTGCCTTCGATTCAATCGCTTTCCTCGAGCAACTGATCTTAAATTTCCAATTTAAATAGGTAATGCCTTCCAATAACCATTATTATTATTAAGAGACACTCCTATTATATACACAGGGTGCGCCATCTGGACCTTCGGTTATTCAGCGCCATCTTAATCGTGCGCCGAAACACACCGAAAGAAAGCATTGAAATCGTAGCGCCTTACATTGAAAACAATCGTTCGGTTGTGAGCAGTGCGTGCTTAATATATGAAGCTAATCTCATGAAAAATGGTGATTTGGATGGGCCGCCTCATTCCCCAGATTAAACTGTACCTGATTTTTCCTTGGGGCTATTTAAAAAGTAAAGTTAATGGCAGCAATCCAAAGACAATCGACGAACTGACGTATTTTATATTTATATTGAAAATTGGAGCTCTTTGAAAGCGTTAAGTCGCCTTTGAAAGGCCGATCGAGGTAGATGAGGAGCTTTTATTTCATTCCAGAATTGCACTCGGAGGGATTGACATTCCCAGCCGAGGGACGACTGCATTTAGAAAAATTAATTGACCATAATTTACTATAATTTGGTATCTTGATTGAACCAGGACTCGAGGTAGTACGCATGGCTAATCCATGGGCTATTACGACGTTTGTGGTCCGCTTAAAACGGCTTAAAAGAGCGCACATAGGACATAAATTTGTTTTGAAGCCCAGCCATTTATGTCACAATCATATAAACGTCTTTTTGTATAAAGGTAAATTTATAGCCTCAAAACCAGATTTTTATTCATGATTAAAGTTTACATACAAATAAAAAAAATAAAAGGGGGAAAACAAATTTAAGCATTTTTATTACTCATACGACCTGGCAGCCCATAAGGGAGAGGGAGAAAATAAATAAAATAAAATTATTTCTATTACTGGACACACTTGTCAAATATCATATTATTTTTGTATTTACGAGTATATGGTGTAAACACATAGTATTTCCTTTGTGTTTTTTCTGTAAAACTAAAAACAACAACAAATATGAGTGGCAACGCATTAAAAGTTGTCACACATTTTTATGACCAGATGAAGATCCTCTGAAATGCTCTGCTACATAATACATACTATTTTATGACCTGTTTATGTCAGCTCATCATCAAATGGATCGAAGGGAATGAGAGCTCCTTCCTCTCTTCAATCCTCATTTTTTGCCACCAGTTGACAGGAGCTGCTCTGCAGCTTAAGCTTAAGCGCTCTACAATTGTTGCATTATGGCTACTTGTTCTAAGTGGGAGACTATATATGTACATATGTACCGTTATATAAATATTTATATGTACTTGTTGTGCACTACTTTATAAAATCAATAAATCTTCTATACCAGCACAACCACAAGCACACGCACACGCACACTGACATGCGCGCTTACGTATTGTGTTTTACTCACGTAGATGTGTGTGTGTGTGCACTTAAGACTTGTTGATGTTACTCATACGCCTCCGCCGCAGATACAAGAGAGAGGAAATTGAAGCGCCGACAGATAAGAATCTTTAATTTGAACTAACGAACTTTCTCATCTCTCGCTTCATTAAGTGTTTCCGGTGGCTGAACGGAAATTGCAACGGATTTTATTTTGACCATATATACATATTGTACACACACACATACAGAGCTACACAGCTGCATAAACACTCATTGACAAGAAACTTACAAACTCTTCAGTAAAGTGTACTTTTGTCAGCGCGTTAAGCAAAATCAAAGTGGAATAAAGATATGTGTAATTAAAAGGGAAAAGAAATGGGTATTTCTTCAACAACGTTTCTCAGGAAAATCTTATTTATCGGCCAAAGAACCTGTTAATGGCTTCAAACAACGATCCTTTACTTCATTGGTTTATAAGAGTGAGGATATGAAACTCACCTCTCCTCCAGACAGCTGAAGGAGTATACCAGGATTTTCCTGGCGTAGCCAAGACCCGCAACATTCTAAATTGCCCAAATATTCCACCTGCCCATTTGTTGATGCAGTGGTTAGAGAAAGAGGATGAATTCATTCGAAATAAATGCACACATCAATACATGAAATATTATTTCAAATTCGAGTGGGCCAATGACTTAAGAGCTATCCTCTCCTTTTTTAGGCACACCTCTTTAGTACCGAAAATTTTACTATTTTAGCATACAGTAATCTCTCTTTTAACAATACGAGAATCTTAAAGGAATTTACAAAATATGAAAAAATTAGTTCTTAATTACACCGAAATTCCGTTTTTAGTTCCCACCTTGCGTACTCTCTGCCATAGACCGCTATAACACAGACACACACTAACAACCGTCAAGTTGGGCCTAATCTTAATAATTGATAAAAGCTCTAATTACTTACAAATAATGACGGCGGAGAGTAAAAGGCCAACACAAAGAAATGCATTGAGCTTCAACAAAAACTCACACACATGCATTTGCAAGTATGTAAACCAAAAGCCACATATTCTTGTTTACGTGCGTATATGTGATGGGCCATATTGAGGAGTCCATTAAAAGCACATTAGTTGGGATTATTGCCTTAGTGTTGAAGTAATTGATAACAGCTGTCCCGAATAGCAGCCACAATCCCAGATTTGCAGCCGACCGTAGATGGGACCAATGCACATATGAATGTATGTATATGCATACAAACAGACTTCATTGACTAGGAGTAGCATATTATCACACACACATGCACATACACTAACACACATACAGCTGTTAGTAAGAATAAACTCAACTGTAGATATAAACCTGCTTAAAACACATATGCATATACACATATACATACATACAAGCAAAAGCTCATGCATTCCAAACCTGCCACAATTTTTTGACTGTCACATGGCTTGCCACATTACACAATACCACATTATACAAACATACACACATACAAACAATACACAAATGCATCTCACCCACCCCGAAAACCCACTCTTTTTCGTTTGACGGTAGACCCAGCTGTCGTCATCATTGACATCCCTACAAAGCGCCGCTTGGCTGCTCGGTGTCACTGCTCCATTCGTTGTTTCCTGCTCCATTTATCCTCTCAGACACGCCTTGTAGCAATGCGTATACTCGATTGTACATTGATTCCGCTTCGGGCTTTTCGATTATGTCATGACTTAAAAGATTTCTGTTCTGTTCTCCATCCCTTTTTCGGTTGCCACATGAGTTCGTTCGTGCTCTCGCCTCATGCCTCCTGTCTCCTGCCCCTTGCCACTTGCCACTTGCCACATTCTGTTTGCCATCGTTAAATCCCATTTCCCATGAGTTCGGCATCAGCAAATATTACTTATTTAAAAGCGCATAATAACGGTATTTGCAAACATTTACCATAGAAATGTGTATAGAATATCCAAAAATAAAATAAGTAAGCAAATAAACGAAAATAAAGAAGTGTGCGGAGTACTTCAAGTAAAATTAATTTTTGCTATTTTCCATTTCTTTTACTGTTCAAAATCCAATTTTAAAGCATTCCTACTATGCAAAGAAGGAAGAGCAAAGTTCGTTTGAAGCAGATTAACTAATTTCAAGAAAACCTTTTGGTGCATTTTCTTACGTTTTCTAATTATCAGTCAGAAGGCAACCTCATCGGCTGCGGTAGCCGAGTGGTTAGCGGTGCGTACTGCCATTCCGAAGGCCCGGGTTCAAGTCCTGGTATGACCAACATCCAAAAGTTAGAGAAAATTAATTTAAGTAATTTGCTCCTCAGTAGGGAATGTTCATCCCTCCGAGTGTATTTCGGACATGAAATAAAGGCTCCTCATAAAAAACCTTCAGCTGTTCGGAGGCGGTTTAGTATAAACTGTAGATCCCTCCATTCGGTGGGCGCATTGTAATACCTCTGCAGTGTGCTTCTCACATTCTCAGATGATTGAACCATTTCGTGCGCCTTATGAGTGATGCGATGCTCCCATACCAGCACGAGTCGTTGCTACGTCAGATAGGTAATCAAAGAAATGATATTCTTGGAGTTTATTTCGTATGATACTTAGGGCTGTACTGTGACAGAAGTGGTGCTCGGCGGAGTCTTCCTCTTCCTACTTTGAAACTACCGAACATTGCCATAAATAAATCTGTATATTTTGGCAAAACTACAGTTTTGTTTACAAGCATAAAATACTTCAAGCAACCGACACTTCTTGAATACAAAGATGGCATGAAAAGTGGCAACAGCGCATTCGCTCGCTGCTTTCGTGCTCGTTTTATTTGTTCGTTTAGATTTTCCTACTCAGATTAACCAAATTTTTCCTGTGCGTTAAGAAGCCTGTGGTACATGCCTATGATGTGTACATATGTATGTTTACGTAGGATTCGGATAACTTTCAATTTTTTCAGCAAATTATTCAAATTACTTCAGCTATTTTGGGCCTCATTTGTGGTAGCTAAAAATAATTCACAAGCAAATTTAGATTTAATTTTTGAGTTGCGTATACAAATTTGAAAAAATAAAATCTTATTTCATTTGAATTTCCCACGATTAATTTGTTTCCTCCTGTGATATTCCATTTAATTTTATAAAAAGTGTTACTCAGCTCTTCTCTTCTTCAACTTACTCCTTACTTCGTCCTGCAGGTGCCGCACCAAAAAGTATCGCGAGGACTTGCCGGAGACAAGTGTGATTATAACATTCCACAACGAAGCGCGTTCAACGTTGCTGCGCACCATAGTCAGGTGAGTGAGTGAATGCCAATATAAATTCCCCTGACATAAAAATATCTCAAGCGGCAGAGACACATTAAACGCGTACATAAATAAATATAAATAAACTGTGAATGGGCAGTCGCCGTTTAATTATTTCAATTTGACGCTCTTCTCTTGCAGCGTACTGAATCGCAGTCCCGAACATTTGATAAGGGAAATTATATTGGTTGACGACTTCAGTGACCACCGTAAGTATTTAGCTACACACAGACATATCTCTTCTATATCAACTACTCCTACTACCAGATCCTGGACAGATTTACAACACTGCAATTACTCACTCATATTTGTATTTCTTTTTGTGTGTGTGTGTAGCTGAGGACGGTCTCGAGCTGGCCAAAATCGACAAGGTGCGCATATTGCGCAACAAAAAGCGTGAAGGTCTTGTGCGTTCGCGTGTTCGTGGGGCCGATGCGGCTGTGGCCGGCGTGCTCACCTTCCTCGACAGTCATGTGGAGTGCAATGAAAAGTGGCTCGAGCCACTGCTAGAACGCGTACGTGAGGACCCCACACGTGTGGTGTGCCCAGTCATCGATGTCATTAGCATGGATAACTTTCAATATATCGGCGCCTCGGCTGACCTGCGTGGCGGCTTCGATTGGAATTTGATTTTCAAGTGGGAGTACTTGAGTGCGACCGATCGTTCGACACGGCAAAATGACCCAACCACTGCCATACGTACGCCCATGATAGCAGGTGGGCTGTTCGTCATCGACAAGGCGTATTTCAATAAGCTCGGCAAGTACGACATGAAAATGGATGTGTGGGGTGGCGAGAACTTGGAGATATCCTTCCGTGTTTGGCAGTGTGGCGGTAGCTTGGAGATAATACCATGTAGTCGCGTGGGTCACGTTTTCCGCAAACGGCATCCGTACACCTTCCCTGGCGGCAGTGGCAACGTGTTCGCAAGGAACACCAGGCGGGCGGCCGAGGTGTGGATGGACGATTACAAGCAGTACTACTATGCGGCAGTGCCGTTGGCCAAGAACATTGCGTATGGCAAGTAAGTGTTGAAAGTATTATAGGCTTGTGTGTATGAGGGGTAGTACAATACAAGGGAAGCTTTTGCTTTGTGCTCCTCCTACTCACTCTCATAATTACATTAAATTTTTTCACTTTCTTATTTCTTTGTTATTTGCTGCTCTGATACTCCTTTACGCCTCCTGCTTGTTGTTGTTTACAGCATCGACGACCGGTTGGCGCTGAAGCAGAAATTGCACTGCAAACCATTTAAATGGTATCTGGAGAATGTCTATCCGGATCTGCAAGTGCCGGAATCCTTCGAGTTCGGGCAATTTAAGCAGGGACCCACCGATTGCTTGGACACGATGGGCAATTTGGTCGATGGTACAGTGGGTAAGTATTCACAAAAACCGAAAAATTACAGTAATATTTTAGTAAAACTATTGATTTGCAATAAAAAGTTCAGCAGAAGCTCAACGCATGGAAAAATCAAAACCAAAAAAAAAAATGTAATCTCAAATCTCTCTTCTCTAACACCTTCAAGATTAAGAAATTTAACTTAATTCGACTTTTACCTTTCTTCACATCCCTTAGTCGTCCTCGGCATGCTTCACTTGATTATGAGATGAAGTCTGCTCTTTTTTCTTCAACTCAGAGCAAATTATTCTGCCAAATTTTCCCGCCGCTGCACTTTTGGCAAAAAGAAAATATTTTCAGCGTATTCGAAATGAATGCGCTTAACATGCGTGTTGCATACTTTCCGGCGAACTCATATTTGAATTTGCATAATTCACGAATGTAACATATGAAAATTGGCTGAGAAGGGTTGCCATAGTCAGGAAATTTCCCTAGACTTTATAAAGCTTTCTTTATCGAATTCTGAAACAGCTGATAACGTATTGACCGATAACCAGAAAAATCTCCAAAAATCTCCAAAGCTTGCAGACCGATTTTCTTGAAATTTCGTCAGATTGTTTCTATGGTTTCTGGGAATGTGGACCGGGGACTGACCTTTTCGAATCGGCTTGATTTATATGAAATTCGTGGCCTTTTGCGTAGATTAACAGGAAAACTTTTCTTTTTTCCGGGAAGTGGGCCGAGGCTTATTCAAAAGTCGGACTACTCCTCTCTACGAAAGAGACCGATTTCAATGGCAAAATAAAAAGTGTTGTATTCCCACAAGTATTGAGCAAATAAATTACGATAAAAAAATTTCCCTTGATTAATCTTTTCACGCATTCAATGGGTATGAGCGGCAGCGAAGCGTTGCAGGGTGCATCTATTATATATGTATATATATATCAGAAAAATTTTCTTGTTTATACTATAAGGAATTGAAACAAAAAAACTTCTCCACGCTTACTTTCTGGATATGCCGCGTTTTGTCAGAAAATATAAAGTCTATCGACAACGATATTTAAGATTTTAACTCAAGGTTCGCATCCCTGCAATCAAACAAATGAAAGTTTGCGCAACACTCGCGCCCTAAATCCTTGCATCAAATTAGAAAATCGCTCGCACACCTGGCAATCCTATTATCGTATTTGCCGCTGCCCTGCGTTAATTAATTCCGCTTCAATGAGCCGATGCATTCGATTCGATTTTACCTGCGGCTACAATGAAGCATTGAACCTTCCGCTGACACGCGAATACAATCTCATTTTCACTCATCTCTGCCGCCGCAGCCAATCTCCATATCTCTGCCACGCGCTTCATTGGTTCACTGGTGTTACATGCGCTCATGCAAATAGGATTAAAAGTATCATTAAAATTGTGTTTTCCGCATTTCATGAAATTTCTCTTTTCTTCATTGTGTTTCTTCCATGTACGCTGTAGGTCTCTTCCAGTGCCACAACACGGGCGGCAACCAGGAATGGGCCTACACCAAGCAGGGCCAAATCAAGCATGATGATCTCTGTCTGACGCTCGTGCAGTTCGCACGCGGCTCCGAGGTGGTAATGAAAGAATGCGACAGCTCCGAAAACCAGCGCTGGACACTGCGCGAAGGCGGCTTTCTGCGGCACAACAAGCTCAACGTGTGTCTGGACTCCCGGGACCATCACGAGCACGGCGTAACCGCTCAGCGTTGCAACTCGGCATTGGAGACGCAACGCTGGAAGTTTGTGGCGAACGGGAAGTACGCGTGAGAAGATGCGGTGGCGACGGCAGTCGACAACAGAACTATGGGGACAATGGTAAAGTTGACCACGGCGACCAGGGAAACGGATGAGGAAAAGGAAACGGAAATTGATGTGAATGCCGATGTGGATGGGGCAGCCGACATGAATGCGATCTTTAATCACTAAACAGTTAAACGGGGATCTCACACTTTACATGACGAATACTACAACTACAACTACAACTACAACAACAACTGCAACTACAACTACTATTGCTACAAGAAGAACCACCAAGAACTGCAACAAGCGCTAGAGACATGCAGGTATCGGAAAAAGGAAATGTGGTTGCACCACATGCAGAAAAAGTAGGTTAAAAAGGACATTGGCCGCTGCATAAAGGACAGTCGACACTTGACACTTGGCTACCAATTAAGTATAAGTTTAATGTGCATGGAGAAGGGACAATGACACTTAAAGATAATGACCACTTACCAGCAAGGCGGGCGGGCGACTAATGAAGCGAGTAATAAGGAGTCCTGTATAATTAAGTATGAAACAGTAAACAAGGACACGAGTGATATTAAAAGAAATTGATGGGAGCGTTGGCGCCGCAGGGCACAGGGCAAGAGAACAAAAGAACGGACGCTAGCAAGGGGGGAATATTACAGTTGACAGCTGCGAAATGGCAATTGCAACAGCTGCCACTTGCCGTACACATTAGGGTGGTTCAAATATTTGCTCGAAAGGTAAAAATAATTTTTTTGCAGCTACGTAAGGGAAAATAAAAAACTTTTTAACAACTGACTTTTCCGCAAATCTGAGTTTTAGAAATTCCTTCCAATGTCAGTGTAGGTCATTTATGCAAACATTTTTCAAGGGTAAACAAAGTTAAAATAAAAAAGTGCGATAACCAATTCAAAAACATCTTTCACTATAATTTTGATAAGGGAAAATCTCTTACAAAAATTAGATATATAAAATTTTTCCTTTTTTTAAACCTTGACCACCCTAATTTTTACAAACGTGCACACATGCATTTGCTGGTTAAATTTACATGAACAACAGTCAGTGTGTAACCTTATGTGAAATATGACATACAGACACAGAGAGGAAGTCGAAGGGAAGAAACCTAAATTCAAATGAAGCAGAGAGCGGGGAGCAGCGCTGTTGCATGCAACGCCGACGATAACAAGCAGTGCTGGAGAAAATTAATAAAAGCATACAAAGAAAACGAAGAAAAATAAGAAGAGAAGAGAGAGAGATAAGAGAATGGAAGTAAAAGTGGAAAAAGTTTCTTGCGATGAATATTTTAAATTTAACTGGGGGTATTTTAATGTTGTTGTTGACGGGGGATTATTAAATATTTAGACTGATTTTTTTCCTTTTTATCAAACTAAATAAAAGTTTACTTAACTACATAATTTACAATGCGCACTTTTTGCATTCCACAGAGCAAATCAATTGCTTTTTCACCGCTGACCAAAATCAAAAAAAAAAATTATATATCAAAAGGTTTATATCGTGTGAACTAACTTTAGTGAAGCAACTTAACCGCGATTCTGACGACTCCACAAACTTTATTTAAAAACTACTCATTTGTTGCTTCAAACAAGTTTGACCGAAAAAAAAAATAATAAAAATTAGATTTAAAAAAATTTGCACTCTTTGGAAAATGTTTACAAAATTCTATAAAAAAAATTTTGTTTTGAAACATTTTTCGAACGTTGGAACGGAAAAGAATTTCCAAATAAATTAAACAAATTTGAAATGTAACCGAAATTGGTTTTGAACATTTTTCGCGTGGCGGAAGGTATATGTTGTTAAAATCTTGCGTACAGTTGTACATAAAATTTCACCATTAAATTTCAAAAAAAAAAAATTCTAAAATTTAAAAAAAAAAAATATTTTTAAAATTTTTGGATTGTCGTCAGGTTTTCAAAATTTCGTTTGAATTATTTGTACAACGCTCTGCTCAATACTGCATTAAGAATGTTTAACATATCCTAACTTTTTTGAGCTTCCGTCTACACCAGTTTTCTTATTGTTAAAACAACCTTTAGCTCTCCGAAAGCACGTTCTGTTTGTCAGCCATTAGTCTTTTCCATTCTTTAGTAGCTCCACAGCGTCAATTATCCAACTAAGAAGAAAAATTTTGAATTTTACAAAAACTTTTTTTATGGTCTTTTCCAAATTTCTACATATTTGAGATATTTTCAAATATATTTTTTACGTTTTTTAACTTTACATTTCTTACTTGATTTATTGCATTTTCACTCATAAGCATCATTAGCATTTGTTTTTTAACGGTACCAAAAGCGCAAAGCTAAAAAACGAAAAAACAAAGATTTATCATTAGATAAGAATCAATTAATTGCATAAAAATTTGAAAATTGTATTGTAAATATAAAAATATAATTATTTTAAATAAATGTTATTTATATTGATAATAAATATGAGAAGAAAATTTATAAAAAAAAAATATTGTATTACCTAAAATACGAGCTGTTTAGTTATGAAATGCGATTTTAAGTATTTAAGTCTTAGTTAATTGTAAAATATATAATAAAAAACTATTATAAAAAATATATATAAAGAAATATAAAGAAAACAAATACTAAATAAATGACCAAATAAAAGAAATCTGCATATGTGTGTGTGTGTTTGTGCTTACTTTAAATAAGCTAAACGCAGAATGAAATTAAATACAATGTTTATTGACTACAAAAACAAAAACCACTAAATGGAACAAACAAATAAGAAAAAAGGAGAACAAATTGCTAAAGTAACGCGGAAAAACAGTTGGAGGCAGCATTTATTTATTTATTAAATGAGCGCAACATTTATGCATATATTTGTATGATTTGTTACACACACGCGTGAACATATATGTACGTGTACGCCCATTGAAAACTCTATAAAAGAGAAAACTATGCGCTCATTTCCAGAGCTCAACAACACAATAAAAATCATAAACCAAATAACATTTGATGAAAAAAGCGGAAAAGTTAATTGATAAGTAAATAAGAAATGCATTTTTTGCTCAAATAAAAAATATGAGAAACTTTTAAAATTAAATAAAAAAATGCGTTTTTAATAATAAAAATGTGATCACAATGAAACACTACACGGATGGTAAGGAATTTAATTACTCTTCTTTAAAATATTACTATAAAAACAATAATCATCTAAAGTTGTTGACAAAGTTCTGCTTGATCTTCTATATGCGCCTAAAACTATGCTGCTCGAACAGAGGCAAAATGAGGGGCTGCATAACTCACAATAATGAGTTTAAAATATTCTGAGGTCTAACTTCTTCCTCCAGCCCAAAATTACGCGTAGCACATACATATAAAACCTTCCATACGCGTGTTCTCAAAATGAAGACACCCTCACTTAAGCTCATTGCAGTTACTTTTTACGGTTTCTGTCAGCAGATTCATTGCTCGGCAGATGTGTAAGGTTTTGGATTCCCGCTTCGTTTTGTTCCCAAATTGATATTCGAACCAAATGTTTTTCTCATTTGCATACTTGAAATGACACATTAAAAATATTCATTACATTCACTTTTTAGAGAGAGAGAGAGAGAGAGAGAAACTACATCTTGGTATTATGTAATATATCTATATATATATAATGTGTACACTTTCCGTGTGGCGTACATTGACGATGTGAATATCAACGTCTCCTCGGTTCCTCGTCGGGACTTTTTTGACTGGAATTATATTAAAAAAGAGATGATTATTGTAAAGGTAAGTAAAAAAGTAAGGAGCTAAACCTTTTTGAAAAAAAGAAAAGTGCAGCGCATGAAAAGCTAAAATCAACAACAATAAAATATTCTCTTATGTGCTTATATCGATTTAAATTTTTTACTATGCTTTAAATACTACAAGATATGTCCCCCGAAAACCGAGACTGACTTAAAAATTTAAGTAATTTGTTTTTCGCAAATTCATTTTTTTTTCTATAGACTTCTTTTGCTTCGTCACGGTATTTTAAATTATGAACATAGTCACGACTAATGGTTTTTTGATGTCATGATGAATATCTTACTATTGAGCAAACTCTTTAAATCACTATAAAACAAACATTTAAAGATTGAACCATTTTGAAGGAATTTTATGTGAATAATTACTTTTGATCTCTCAAGTAAAGTTTTCGCCATTTGTCTCGGAGGCGTAACAATAATAATGACTTCACAGCACTGTTCCACCAACAAAAAGTTTATTGAACATTGTATTTAAGAACGTCAGTGATAGTGTAGCCGGCCTTTAGGTGCAGAAATAAAACCAAAGTGTTTCCATCATTTAAGCCAAGAATCAGAATAATTCCAAAATTAGCAAGTTGCAGATTTTCTCCCATCTGAATGCTCAAAGGGCTCTACAATAACAACAACTTAAAACACATTTAATACAGAAATTATGAACTTATAAACTTGAAAACTTGAAAATATGAAAACTTGAAAAGCGCCTGGCAGCCCATAAACGTGGCTGAGATGGCAATCGACACGTCTTCACACATCACCTGAAAGTAGGTTAATTTTACTAACCACAATTACCTGTCAGCCATCGCGTTCTGAACGCACACGCACACACACACACTCACATGCAAACATGTGTTTGATGAAAATGTATGTTAATGTGTTCTTCATTTCTGCCATCATAAATGTATGTGGGGTATGTGCGTGCTGGTAGCGGCGAAGTAGGTTAATGGCAAATGTGCGATTCACACCTTTTAAACGCCTCCTTGCATGCAACGAAGAGTCAGCTAATTTGTTTGTAAGCATCAACAGCTTGCGAGCGAAAGCACGTGAGTTCCGTGGAAAATTGTGGAAGAGAGAAGTATTTAATGGGGCTTTCTCACTTTGGATGAGGTAGCACAAAGGTAAGTAGATATTCATTTAAGAGCGGATGCATATGCAGAAGCCTGAAAAAATCATTCAACAGGCTGTGTTCGACATGCTTAGAATTTAGGCTGGTGCACAGAAAGTGGTAACGTCATTAGTCAATTTACAGAAGGAATGGTTAATATACGAGTATGCTGTCCTTAGAACTTCTTCAAATTAGAATAAGTCTTGGTGATTGCCTATAAGTAGTCTCAAAATACTTTAAGGACTCGCTTAATAAAATTATCAGCCTAAATGTATGCCAAATATTTGTTTCATTGTACCCTGAATGATTAAGGATAACTACTAGTAAATACGAGCCGCAAAAAATAAAAATAGAATAGAATTTTTTTATATTGATCAAATAATAAATTATAATTTGAATTCAAATTTAAAGGGCGTTGTCCAAGAATCCATTAACAGATATACGCCAAGTTTGGACAATAGCCTTCTTCACTTCAGCCCTTATATCCCTGCTTCCTATAACACATATAGAACGTTTTAAAGCCATCGCTATTTCGGAAGTTTGCAGGTAAATCTCATAGCAAAGAACTTTGCCGGTATACATATATTTCGATTTATTTTACAAATTTTGTTTCTTTGTTCCAAGGAAAATTCTTAATATCAGGTGTACAACTCTGCTCCCGCCGTTTTTTTCCAAAATTAAAAGCTTTATTGCGAAAAAATGCTTACAGATATATTTTTCAAAGTATTGTCCTTCTCTAGCGACAACTTTCTCCCATCTTTCCGGCAATTTTCGGATCCCGGCTCGAAAACAGGAGTCCTCTTTTGACGCTATCCATGAAGCAATCCATTTTTCCAATTCTTCGAAGGATTGAAAATATTGATCTGCCAGGTCGTGTGCCATCGAACGGAATGGGTGGAAGTCAGAAGGGGCGACATCTGGGGAATACGGCGGGTGTTCAGAGTTTCCAGGTACTTTTTGACCACTTTTGCGACGTGAGGCCGAGCATTCTTGTGTTGGAGGATGACTTTGTCATGTCGCTCTTGATATTGTGACCGCTTTTCTTTTAACGCGCAACGAAGGCGCATCAGTTGCGTTCGGTAGCGATCTCCTGTGATGGTTTCACCCGGTTTTAAGAGCTCGTATTAAATCACACCGAGCTGATCCCATCAAATACAAACCACTCCCAACACGTTCTTTCACTCAGAGCAGCCTCACCGTAAGTTTCTGAGAGCATTCGATGCGCTTCAGCTGCATTTTTTTTTCGATAAAAACCAAAACTGGTTAAGAACTATATATTTGGAGAATTTGTAACTAATTTTTTGTGGCATACTTTTAGGAGCAGCATTTCCTACAGCATTACCAGAGTAATGAATTTCCTCAGAATACTACAATTTTAGTATTAAAAAGCTCACAAGCCTTCTTTAAAG